ATGCGATGTAAGTGTACTTCTGTTGCTCTACTGCTCCCTTTAATCAAACTAAGTGGTTCGTAGTTGGTTGAATTCTTGTACCAATCTTGAGGTTATTTTGAGATGATTTCGGGGCTTTAGTGTCCTCGCGGCCCGGTCCTCGACCAGGTCTCCAACCCCAGGAAGCAGCCCGTGACAGCTGACTAACACCCAGGTACCTATTTTACTGCTAGGTAACAGGGGCATAGGGTGAAAGAAACTCTGCCCATTGTTTCTCGCCGGCGCCCGGGATTGAACCCGGGACCACAGTGTCCAGTGTGCTGTCCGCTCGGCAGACCAGCCCTCAGATCCTGATGTTGCACCTGCTGTGTTGTGGTCACTGCACATCTTTTGCATTGCTCTGTTTCTAATTACTTTCTTAATCTGTGATAGACTGTGTGGTATGTAAATGTCTACATTTCTTCTCTTAGTTGCAAGTTTTGCAGCTTCGTCTGCAATGTCATTTCCTATTATTCCCACATGACTTGGCACCCAGTTGATAAGTACCTGTTGGCCATGTCGTTTGATTGTTTGCATTAATGATATGACATTTGTGATCAGATGTATGTTATCACCTATGTGTTCTTGTTGCAAGGTTTCAATGGCAGTTCTCGAATCTGTATGTATAAAAACGGTATCTGGAGTGCTTGGAGGTATCTGGAGTGTTTGTTGGTGTTACGGCCACAATGGGTCGCAACCGAGTTCTTTGCTGGTGGAACTAAAGTTCTGGTATCCGGCGCCAAGTTAGTAGTGGCTTTCAAGGCGTGAGCTCGGTAATGTAAGTAAAACACAATGGGGGAGGTGCATTGAATACGACACTTCATCAATTATCAATATTTTCACATATAGTCACTTTCCCATCACCTCATATATAATCCTAAAGGAAGTATTACTACACTTAACATGTACACAAGTGTCTCTCTCATAGGACACTAAGCGCTCCTTGATGCAGTCTCGTCAGCTTCCGTGTTTCCTCAACACACAGTACCGTCCTCCACCAGTACTGGGAAGCACCAATGAGTCTACCCTAGCCACGGACCAGCCAATTCACAGTCTCCCTAGGTGCTCCTTGTGAACGCCCACAATCACTCTCCATCCTGGAGCTGGCAGAGAACATCAGCCTCGCGCTGCTAGGCCTCTCCACACGAACAAATACAAGGAGAAGCTCCCTGGCAGGAGCTTCTTGCAACTCGCTGGTTACACTCCTCCGTAACACCTTACTGTCAGTCTTCTCTTCCCCTAACCAATCCCGAGTACGCCGAATTCTGACACTGCCACTTCACAGGCAGACAGTAGAACACTACACAGCTCTTCTCTGGCGGCGGCTCACTGCTTCTGTAAAGCAGAATGGAGTAGAGAACTAGTGGCTACCCTGGGTAGACTGACTGTCCTCGTTCCACAGCACCCCCTACGTCGACTCTGTGGATACAGACACGTCATCAGTACACCGGTCAGTACATGGGACACTGGGAAACATCACTTACGTACCCTGACATTAGACATACAACTCCTTCTATAATAGATGGCGCTGATTTTCTAGGCGCCACCTCACCAGAGGTCAGCACCAGCTACCTCTCGAGCTGACTAGGACAGGAATCTAGCGCCTCTTGCTGGTATAATCCTGTCACCACTAGATGGCGTCGTCCATGTTGTGGGGGTTTCGGGAGCGGACTCACAGATGACATTGACGTCGCTGCTCCGTGCTCCCACGATGGTGTCGGGTTCGTAACAGTTGGTATATGGAGTGCTTGGAGGTATCTGGAGTGTTTCTTGGTATATGGAGTGCTTGGAGGTATCTGGAGTGCTTGGAGGTATCTGGAGTCATTAGAGGTATCTGAAGTGCTTTGAGGTATCTGGAGTGCTTGGAGGTATCTGGATTGATTGGAGGGATCTGGAGTGCTTGGAGGCATCTGGAGTGCTTGGAGGCATCTGGAGTGCTTGGAGGTATCTGGAGTGCTTGGAGGTATCTGGAGTGCTTGGAGGTATCTGGAGTGCTTGGAGGTATCTGGAGTGCCTGGGGTATCTGGAGTGCTTGGAGGTATCTGGCGTGCTTGGGGGTATCTGGAGTGCTTGGGGGTATCTGGAGTGCTTGGGGGTATCTGGCGTGCTTGGGGTATCTGGAGTGCTTGGGGTATCTGGAGTGCTTGGGGGTATCTGGAGTGCTTGGGGGTATCTGGCGTGCTTGGGGTATCTGGAGTGCTTGGGGGTATATGGAGTGCTTGGGGGTATCTGGAGTGCTTGGAGGTATCTGGCGTGCTTGGGGGTATCTGGAGTGCTTGGAGGTATCTGGAGTGCCTGGGGTATCTGGAGTGCTTGGGGGTATCTGGAGTGCTTGGGGGTACCTCCAAGCACTCCAGATATCTGGAGTGCTTGGGGTATCTGGAGTGCTTGGGGTATCTGGAGTGCTTGGGGGTATCTGGAGTGCTTGGGGGTATCTGGAGTGCTTGGGGGTATCTGGAGTGCTTGGGGGTATCTGGAGTGCTTGGGGTATCTGGAGTGCTTGGGGTATCTGGAGTGCTTGGGGGTATCTGGAGTGCTTAGAGGTATCTGGACTGTGCGACACAGTGGCAACCACTGTGTTGCACAGTCTGGTGGACGTTTTGTGCTGCCCATAGATATAGGTTTCAGATCTGAACAAATCATAGCTTTTGATACTAGTGCTTTCAGGTCGTTGGGAGTTAGCAATTTCTTTCCTATCAGACCTGAGTGTTTAGACCAATATAGTTTTGACAGTAGAGATGGGGATACCTAGATCTAATTCAACTTCATCTTTGTTGCGCGCTAATTTGGCTGCAATGTCTGTCTCATTATGATGGGTTATATTTATGTGTGATGGTATCCAAAGGAGATTCGAGACCCTTTACTCTGTGCAGCAATTTGGTCATTTATAATTGGTAGTATGAGGTTCTTGCTGTCGATCTTCCAGGAGTTTTCGATTGCTTGAAGAGCAGACTTTGAATCACAAAATATTATTCCTCCTCCAATGTTTTTTAATGTACTGGTAGCTAGGTGCAATGCTGCTAGTTCTGCTTGTGTGGAGGTCAGCCAGTTGTTTAACCTGACACTGACAGACTTTGTGCAAATATTATTTCTATAAAACCTACATGCTGCTGCAGTCCGTCCAGTAGAAGATTGGACTGAGCCGTCGGTGTAGACACAGTGCTCGTGAGATCTTAAATTCTCGATGGAGGAGGCAATTGTTTCAAGTGTGACAGCTTTGAGTAGAGCAAGATTCTCATTATCTTTCTTGGTGACAGGTGTGTATGATACTTGAATGGTGGGGTACAGATAAAGAGGAATATCAGAGACAGGTAGATTGCACTTAAAAGAAATGTTGAGTTTAATGAGATTGTAGGCATTTTTTCTCAGCCATTTATCATAAAAGGAGTGAGTTGGTATGTCGGCACCAGTCAATAGGGTGTTAACAGCACTAAATAATTTGTCTCTGAGCAATGCAGGAGATGTAGGGTCTCTCATGACTTTAAGGCAAAAGGTGGTGTTGACTTGCATGATTCTCTCTAGTATGGTTGGAAGTTTCAGTTCTTCCCTCATGTTGATGATTCTTGTGCATCTTGGGGCACCAAGAATTATCCTCATGGCCTCATTCTGTACTACTTCAACTTTGTCCAACACAGAGGAGGGGAAATTAAGTGCAAAGCACTATAATCAACGAGAGATCTAACAAACATCATATAGAATAGTCTAGCATATTTAATATTGATACCAATACTCTTACCAGTAAGTGTTTTCAGTGGTTTTAGTCTTTCTTTTAACCTACGGTGTAGATCATTTACAATGTCACTGTTAATACCAACTCCAAGGTATTTGTGCTGCCTACACGTTTCAATGTTCTGGTTGTTGACCTTGAAAGTTATTGGGACATGAGTTTTCTCTTGGGGATGGAGGACTCTGGATTTAGTTATAGAGATAACAAAACAACCTTCAATGTTTTAGCAGCGAGTGAATCCAGTAGAGCTTGCAGTCTAGTTTGGGTATTTGGAACAATGCATATGTCATCGGCATAAATGATGACGGCTTCGTCAGGTAGTGTGGGAATATCATTAGTTAATTTGTGCATCAGAACATTGTACAGTGTAGGACTTAGCACTCCACCCTGGGGTGTACCCAACTCAAAGGGTGCACAAAGTTTACTTTTGACACCCTTGAAAAGGACTGAGGCGGTTCTGTTACTCAGGTAACCCCTGAGCCATGTCAACAGTCTTCCCTTAACTCCAAAAGAGGCTAGTTGTTCTAAGACTATTTCTCTATTTGCTGTATCAAAAGCAGTTTGGAGATCAATAAATGCCGCCTGAGAGCTTGGTCCCTCTCTAATAAAATATTCAGCAAAGCAAGTTTGTGTTTCTTCCAGGAAGGAAACCATACAGGTTAGGGGCAAGGTGGGGCTTAATTTGAAACATTAGTCTGTCGAGTATAATTCTCTCAAGAACTTTTCACATGCACGACGTCAGAGAAATAGGTCTGAAGTTATGTGAATTAGGCTTGGGTATGAGTATAATAAGTCCTTCTGTCCGGCGGTTAGGTAAGATACCTTTAATTAAACAATTCATGCAAAGGGCTATTTGGGAGCCCAGCAAGTACTGTGAAGGTATAGTGTGTTGTGTTGACCAACGACCTGTCAGGTGGTCATGACAGGACACGTCTTAACCCCGTCAACACAATTACCTGAGCCTCGACATAAGGGACAGGTGTTGACAGTGTTACCATGGCAACAGGGGGCTCAACGATAACAAATAAATAAATTAAAAAAAAATCCCATTGGAAATAAAATATATATTGTGTTTAAAGCCTCGTGGCGCGTCTTAATATTGGTACCTTGACTGGAACAATTTACTCAGGCACTGAGAAATGTGATATTAATAAATCTAAAGTTTTGAAATTTGATGAGTTTTAAGTAGTTAATGTTGAGTTAATTGGTAACTTAATAACGCTTCTTTCATCATAATAGACATTATTTTTGTTAATTTTAGTTCCAAAATAAAAGTTTCTATTTCAAACATCGTGCTGCCAGACATACAACCAGCACTGCTAGAAAAAATCTCTAGATAATATGTATAAATTTGATTAAATTGTTGGGGCAAGAGCCTGTCCACTTTATATATATACTTACTAATGATCAACGGTGAAGACTCGGTACTGTGTTACTATGACGATGGAGGCGGTACGAGAGTGTAGGCTGGTGCCGGGGAGGGCAAGTGGTGCTGGAAGCGCTCTCCAGCCACACGCGTCTTGGCAAGGTCACCTTCAACACCTCCCTGGCAAGGTACGTGGGACGCTCCTCTCATTCTCTCATCCTTAACATATTTAATAATGTTAATTAAATCCGGTGAGTGTGAATTACAAGTGACCAGGACGGTAATGTTGGAGAGGCTTTGAACTCTGTACCTGGGTCGAGTATTGGTATAGCACGGTACCTGGGGCGAGTATTGGTATAGCACGGTACCTGGGGCGAGTATTGTTATATAGCACGGTACTTGGGGCGAGTATTGGTATAGCACGGTACCTGGGGCGAGTATTGTTATATAGCACAGTACCTGGGGCGAGTATTGTTATATAGCACGGTACCTGGGGCGAGTATTGGTATAGCACGGTACCTGGGGCGAGTATTGTTATATAGCACGGTACCTGGGGCGAGTATTGGTATAGCACGGTACCTGGGGCGAGTATTGGTATAGCACGGTACCTGGGGCGAGTATTGTTATATAGCACGGTACCTGGGGCGAGTATTGGTATATAGCACGGTACCTGGGGCGAGTATTGTTATATAGCACGGTACCTGGGGCGAGTATTGGTATATAGCACGGTACCTGGGGCGAATATTGGTATAGCACGGTACCTGGGGCGAGTATTGGTATAGCACGGTACCTGGGGCGAGTATTGGTATAGCACGGTACCTGGGGCGAATATTGGTATAGCACGGTACCTGGGGCGAGTATTGGTATATAGCACGGTACCTGGGGCGAATATTGGTATAGCACGGTACCTGGGGCGAGTATTGGTATAGCACGGTACATGGGGCGAGTATTGGTATAGCACGGTACCTGGGGCGAGTATTGTTATATAGCACGGTACCTGGGGCGAATATTGGTATATAGCACGGTACCTGGGGCGAATATTGGTATAGCACGGTACCTGGGGCGAGTATTGGTATAGCACGGTACCTGGGGCGAGTATTGGTATAGCACGGTACCTGGGGCGAATATTGGTATAGCACGGTACCTGGGGCGAGTATTGGTATATAGCACGGTACCTGGGGCGAATATTGGTATAGCACGGTACCTGGGGCGAGTATTGGTATAGCACGGTACCTGGGGCGAGTATTGGTATAGCACGGTACCTGGGGCGAGTATTGGTATAGCACGGTACCTGGGGCGAATATTGGTATAGCACGGTACCTGGGGCGAGTATTGGTATATAGCACGGTGCCTGGGGCGAATATTGGTATAGCACGGTACCTGGGGCGAGTATTGGTATAGCACGGTACCTGGGCGAGTATTGGTATAGCACGGTACCTGGGGCGAGTATTGTTATATAGCACGGTACCTGGGGCGAATATTGGTATATAGCACGGTACCTGGGGCGAATATTGGTATAGCACGGTACCTGGGGCGAGTATTGGTATAGCACGGTACCTGGGGCGAATATTGGTATAGCACGGTACCTGGGGCGAGTATTGGTATAGCACGGTACCTGGGGCGAATATTGGTATAGCACGGTACCTGGGGCGAATATTGGTATAGCACGGTGCCTGGGGCGAGTATTGGTATAGCACGGTACCTGGGGCGAGTATTGGTATAGCACGGTACCTGGGGCGAATATTGGTATAGCACGGTACCTGGGGCGAGTATTGGTATAGCACGGTACCTGGGGCGAGTATTGGTATAGCACGGTACCTGGGGCGAATATTGGTATAGCACGGTACCTGGGGCGAGTATTGGTATAGCACGGTACCTGGGGCGAGTATTGGTATAGCACGGTACCTGGGGCGAGTATTGTTATATAGCACGGTACCTGGGGCGAGTATTGGTATAGCACGGTACCTGGGGCGAATATTGGTATAGCACGGTACCTGGGGCGAGTATTGGTATAGCACGGTACCTGGGGCGAGTATTGGTATAGCACGGTACCTGGGGCGAATATTGGTATAGCACGGTACCTGGGGCGAGTATTGGTATAGCACGGTACCTGGGGCGAGTATTGGTATAGCACGGTACCTGGGGCGAGTATTGTTATATAGCACGGTACCTGGGGCGAGTACTGGTATAGCACGGTACCTGGGGCGAGTATTGGTATAGCACGGTACCTGGGGCGAGTATTGGTATAGCACGGTACCTGGGGCGAGTATTGGTATAGCACGGTACCTGGGGCGAATATTGGTATAGCACGGTACCTGGGGCGAGTATTGGTATATAGCACTGTACCTGGGGCGAATATTGGTATAGCACGGTACCTGGGGCGAGTATTGGTATAGCACGGTACCTGGGCGAGTATTGGTATAGCACGGTACCTGGGGCGAGTATTGTTATATAGCACGGTACCTGGGGCGAATATTGGTATATAGCACGGTACCTGGGGCGAATATTGGTATAGCACGGTACCTGGGGCGAGTATTGGTATAGCACGGTACCTGGGGCGAGTATTGGTATAGCACGGTACCTGGGGCGATTATTGGTATAGCACGGTACCTGGGGCGAGTATTGGTATATAGCACGGTACCTGGGGCGAATATTGGTATAGCACGGTACCTGGGGCGAGTAGTGGTATAGCACGGTACCTGGGGCGAGTATTGGTATAGCACGGTACCTGGGGCGAATATTGGTATAGCACGGTACCTGGGGCGAGTATTGGTATAGCACGGTACCTGGGGCGAATATTGGTATAGCACGGTACCTGGGGCGAATATTGGTATAGCACGGTACCTGGGGCGAGTATTGGTATAGCACGGTACCTGGGGCGAGTATTGGTATAGCACGGTACCTGGGGCGAATATTGGTATAGCACGGTACCTGGGGCGAGTATTGGTATAGCACGGTACCTGGGGCGAGTATTGGTATAGCACGGTACCTGGGGCGAATATTGGTATAGCACGGTACCTGGGGCGAGTATTGGTATAGCACGGTACCTGGGGCGAGTATTGGTATAGCACGGTACCTGGGGCGAGTATTGTTATATAGCACGGTACCTGGGGCGAGTATTGGTATAGCACGGTACCTGGGGCGAATATTGGTATAGCACGGTACCTGGGGCGAGTATTGGTATAGCACGGTACCTGGGGCGAGTATTGGTATAGCACGGTACCTGGGGCGAATATTGGTATAGCACGGTACCTGGGGCGAGTATTGGTATAGCACGGTACCTGGGGCGAGTATTGGTATAGCACGGTACCTGGGGCGAGTATTGTTATATAGCACGGTACCTGGGGCGAGTACTGGTATAGCACGGTACCTGGGGCGAGTACTGGTATAGCACGGTACCTGGGTCGAGTATTGGTATATAGCACGGTACCTGGGGCGAGTATTGGTATATAGCACAGTACCTGGGTCAAGTATTGGTATATAGCACGGTACCTGGGGCGAGTATTGTTATATAGCACGGTACCTGGGGCGAGTATTGGTATAGCACGGTACCTGGGGCGAGTACTGGTATAGCACGGTACCTGGGGCGAGTACTGGTATAGCACGGTACCTGGGGCGAGTATTAGTATATAGCACGGTACCTGGGGCGAGTACTGGTATAGCACGGTACCTGGGTCGAGTATTGGTATATAGCACGGTACCTGGGGCGAGTATTGGTATATAGCACAGTACCTGGGTCAAGTATTGGTATATAGCACGGTACCTGGGGCGAGTATTGTTATATAGCACGGTACCTGGGGCGAGTATTGGTATAGCACGGTACCTGGGGCGAGTACTGGTATAGCACGGTACCTGGGGCGAGTACTGGTATAGCACGGTACCTGGGGCGAGTATTGGTATATAGCACGGTACCTGGGGCGAGTACTGGTATAGCACGGTACCTGGGGCGAGTACTGGTATAGCACGGTACCTGGGTCGAGTATTGGTATATAGCACGGTACCTGGGGCGAGTATTGGTATATAGCACAGTACCTGGGTCAAGTATTGGTATATAGCACGGTACCTGGGGCGAGTATTGTTATATAGCACGGTACCTGGGGCGAGTATTGTTATATAGCACGGTACCTGGGTCGAGTATTGGTATATAGCACGGTACCTGGGGCGAGTACTGGTATAGCACGGTACCTGGGGCGAGTACTGGTATAGCACGGTACCTGGGGCGAGTATTGGTATATAGCACGGTACCTGGGGCGAGTACTGGTATAGCACGGTACCTGGGTCGAGTATTGGTATATAGCACGGTACCTGGGGCGAGTATTGGTATATAGCACAGTACCTGGGTCTAGTATTGGTATATAGCACGGTACCTGGGGCGAGTATTGTTATATAGCACGGTACCTGGGGCGAGTATTGGTATAGCACGGTACCTGGGGCGAGTACTGGTATAGCACGGTACCTGGGGCGAGTACTGGTATAGCACGGTACCTGGGGCGAGTATTGGTATATAGCACGGTACCTGGGGCGAGTACTGGTATAGCACGGTACCTGGGGCGAGTACTGGTATAGCACGGTACCTGGGTCGAGTATTGGTATATAGCACGGTACCTGGGTCAAGTATTGGTATATAGCACGGTACCTGGGGCGAGTATTGTTATATAGCACGGTACCTGGGGCGAGTATTGGTATATAGCACGGTACCTGGGGCGAGTATTGGTATAGCACGGTACCTGGGTCGAGTATTGTTATATAGCACGGTACCTGGGGCGAGTATTGTTATATAGCACGGTACCTGGGGCGAGTATTGGTATATAGCACGGTACCTGGGGCGAGTATTGGTATAGCACGGTACCTGGGTCGAGTATTGTTATATAGCACGGTACCTGGGGCGAGTATTGTTATATAGCACGGTACCTGGGGCGAGTATTGGTATATAGCACGGTACCTGGGGCGAGTATTGGTATAGCACGGTACCTGGGGCGAGTATATTATAGCACGGTACCTGGGGCGAGTATTGGTATAGCACGGTACCTGGGGCGAGTATTGTTATATAGCACGGTACCTGGGGCGAGTACTGGTATAGCACGGTACCTGGGGCGAGTATTGTTATATAGCACGGTACCTGGGGCGAGTATTGGTATAGCACGGTACCTGGGGCGAGTATTGGTATATAGCACGGTACCTGGGGCGA